AAGCGGGGTTTTTTTGGTTTCTTTTTTGAGGAAGATTAGCCCTGAGCTAACATCTGCTGCCAATCCTCCTCTTTTTGCTGAGGAAGCCTGGCCCTGAGCTAACATCCATGCCCATCTTCCTCCACTTTATATGTGGGATGCCTACCACAGCATGGCTTGCCAAGCAATACCATGTCTGCACCCAGGATCCAAACTGGCGAACCCCAGGCCACTGAAGTGGAATGTGCGCACTTAACCGCTGCACCACCAGGCCGGCCCCCACTAAGTGGTTTTTTAAAAGTTATTTATTGGGGAAAATTAATATGGAATACAGAACAGTGTTTACAGTTTTAATTCTGTTTTCTAGATTGTGTCATTGGAGAAGATGTGACTAATGCTGGAATTTAGAGTATGTGCTTTCAAGTTTCAGTTCCATTACCAACAAACTCTACAACTTTAACAGATACTTAACTTCTCCTTGACTCAACTTATCCATCTGTCAAATGGGAATAATGATATATTCTACCTATTTTGTGTAGCTATTTTTAATGATAAAACAATAGATTTAGGGGCTGGCCCTGTGGCCGAGTGGTTAAGTTCGTCCGCTCCTCTGCAGGTGGCCCAGTGTTTCATTGGTTCGAATTCTGGGTGCAGACATGGCACCGCTCATCGAGCCATGCTGAGGCAGTGTCCCACATGCCACAACTAGAAGGACCCACAACTAAGAATATACAAATATGTACTAGGGGGACTTTGGGGAGAAAAAGGAAAAAAATGAAATCTTTTTAAAAAAAAACAATAGATTTAAAAATATAAATGTGCTACACAATTATATAGGGTATGGCAATTATCAATATTGTGTATATTCATCTATTTAAAGAATCATGCAAACTTTATTACTTATGTCTAAATTTCCTTGCGTTTTACTCCTTGTTTTCTAAGATGTCTGTCGTTTATTCCTTTAATTGTTATTTTTATGGGGTTCTCTCATCACATCTCAACAAAACTCAATGTAAGATGTCCATGATTAATTAAGCACAATGGAGAAATGGAGTATTTCAGGATCGAGAGCTCCTTCATTCAATAATCTGATCTTGATTTACAGAAAAAATATATTGCATTTTTAGGTAGAGAGTTGACTTAGCGAAATGCCTGCCTTCAAATTTGAATCCTCCTAGTATATGTACGTTAATATAAAACGTGTCAGTCACACTGTCCTAGTTGAAAACACCCTCCCAGTTGATTCACTGTCAACATTTTGGTCTCCTGAATAAAGTCTCCTGTATAATTAAAATTTACAGCAGGCTGCTTTTTGTATTTTTCCGGAAGATCTTTTTTCAGTTTAAACTTTTTGCAGATTGAGCAGTCCCCACCTAGTAGTCACAATCTGCCTTTTGGGGAAAGATTTCCATTTGCCCACTGCTTCACGGCAATGCCCTCAGCCCCTCTCCCGTTTCTTTCCCTTGGAGACCATTGGCCATGGTTGAGAAAGTCTGTGATAGAATAATCCAACTGTGGTGTGGCCGAGACCTGCCATGTGAAAGTCATTGTGCTAGTAAATGGTTCAGCTTTTATATTTTATGGAGGAACTAAACTGGGAAAAAAATAGAGGCGAAAGGATGAATCAATTTTGTAGATTTGGTCTTTTTAAAAGTGGCTTTGTATCTGTTGGAGATGATGATCCAGGAAGAGCTGTTATTTCTGTAATTAAAAAGAAGTGGAATCAAGAGAGAGGAGCTCTTGTTCAGGCTGGGTTTTAATTACAATATATCTTTAATTATCACCCTTTTCTTCCTATTTATTTTAAAGTTTTATTAATCCTGTTCCTCAAAATATCTTCTTCCTTTTCCAACGATTGAAAGAATAAAATGCGACAATTTGTTTTCTTTTGTGCTTAGTAGATGGTGTTCTCTAACCCTATGGGTCAACATGACCTTAACTTTAGTTTTATTATATGATATCTACAAGGGTGGCTTATCAGTGCCTCCTACTCTTTTGTGTTTATACAATTTTTAAAGAATTACTGTGGCTCAGTGGACCTTAACCCTTAGTAGCAGAAAATCAAATTATGAATTCTTAGCATTATATGCTTAAGTTTCTTCTGAACTGAAATTACAAAATCATTAGTCAATGTTCTGTGGGGGGAGGGGAGATAGAAAGTGAAGGATTTAATTGGTGACTAGTAGGGTTAATATGGATTCACTGATCATCTCAACTTCAAATACTAAGCCTTTCAACTGCAGATAACTAAGAGCTGAATATATCACAACACTGCTAAGGAAACCACTCAGACTGAATTAAGGCGAGGCTGAAGTCTTGGAACAAATTTACAAAGAGACTGTGTGATCTTCTGCTTGGAGATATTTTTGATATGAGTGATTTTTACTTCGGTGGTTCTCAAAGTGTGGTCTACAGACCAGCAGCAGCAAGCTAATCTGGGAACTTGTTAGACATGTAGATTATCTGGCCCCACCCCCATTTTCTGAATCAGTCTCTGGGTATGGGATCCAGCAATCTCTGTTAATAATCTCTCTGAAGGATTCTGATGTTTGAGAGCCTCTGATCAGCACATTGGTTCTCAAACTGGCTTTACGTAAGAATCACTAGGGAGCTTTTAAACATACCAAGGTGTGGGTTCTGTCCAAAAACTTTTAAATGAGAATCTTTTGGGGGTTGGACCCAAGCCTTGGTATTTTGCTAAGCTCCTCAGATGACCCTAATGAGCAGCCAGGCCGGGGAACAGAAGAGTATTTCTCAAACCTGGCTGCACTTTATAATCGCCTGGGGAAACATTAAAACATACCGATGTCAGGGGCCCCACCATATACTATTGAATCAGGTACAAACTTCCAGTTATAATATAAATAAGTCTCGGGGGTGTAATGTCCAGCATGGTGACAATAGTTAATAATACTGTATTGTATGTTTGAAAATCGCTAAGATAATAGATCTTAAAAGTTCTCATCACAAGGGAAAAATTGGGGGAAAAAAGAAAAGAATCTCTGAGGATGGGTCTGGGAATTGATATCTTTTAGAAGCTCACGATATAACTCATGCAGTCAGAGTTGAGAATTGCTCCTCCGTCTGAAGCATTTCAATGGATTAAATGATCTCTCTAGGTCTGTTCTCTTGATGCTGTTTAGCTTTTAAAGGTTGTGAAAAAAGGTATAATTTTATGTGGACACTTTTCCACTTACCACAGTTTTAACTTAGTTCAATTTTTTTGACCTTGTGACATTTTTACAGTCCTGCATTGGGGTGGATCACCTGATGTGAGCCTGTTGTTAACGAATGAGGACAGATGCGTTAACCACCACTGAAAAAAGGGAAAGAGTAGGGTCAAAAATACACCAGGGGTGAAAGCCAGCCACAGGAGGAACTTTCAGCTCACATAACTGAGACGATGGAGCAAGCTCTTGCTGCAGAAGCCGTGTCCACATTTAGAGAAGAGCAGGAACTCCTCTCTTTGGAGTCTGACGGCATGATGCAAAAGTGGATAAGGAGCAAAAAATTTTGACCTGTTTTGAGTCCATAGGTCTGTTATGTGCCAGGCAAAGCAGACTGGCCTTGATATTTACTTGTCTCTCTGCATAAAACTGTCAACACATAAACCACCTTAAAAATAACACACGATTTTGTTCTGTCTCACTTGTCAGTTGGGTTTCAGTGAAGGCTTTCATGAAGGAAGTTTTCAAAGATTTCTTTAGTGAACGGGATGAACCTTCTGAGTTGGATGCACAAATGCTCATCCAGGTCACCCTCGATGGTTACCTCTTGTTATTTTCCTATTTGGAATCTTCCACCCAACCCTATACACAATTGCTTCCTTGAGAATGGCTCCAGGGATCACCATTTCTTCGCTATTCACATTCCACTACTCCAACTCTCCAGCTCTCACACCAGTATTATTCCCATCATCTACTGACAAGCTTCCCACACACAGGGCATCTCCTGTCATTGCCCTTTGTTTCCTACGTCTGACACCATCCTGCATTCACGACAGCCAGAGATAATCGTCCTAAAGCCCTGTCCCGTCATGTCACTACCCTGCAAGATCTCCAAGTTTCCTTCAGGATAAAGTGAAAGTACCTTTGCATATTTCAAATCTTCCCTGAATGGATGCAACCCCTCTCTCCAATTTCTTTTATGCTGGTCCGCAAGACAAACTCTCAGCTCCAAGCAGCTGATCATCTCATTCTTTTCCATTTAAAAAAAATTATTTCTATTGCCATAACACAGCAGCTTACGCAGTCCATTCCACGGCCCACCTAACATCGCCATCTACCTAAGTTGTATCCATACTTCAGGTTCAGACGAAATTTCAAATCCTGGATTGCAGTGTTGGCTACTCTTTAAGGTTCTCTGAGTGCTCAAGTTCTCTACTCCTGCACTCACTGGCCTTCTCCTTACCTCTGTCCTCCTGATACACTACAGTCCTTATCAAAGAGGTCAACCCTTAATTGTCCTTTCTGTGAATAAAGGGGCTAACTCAAGCTCTGTTCTACACAACTCTTTTCTTCAATTTCAGATTTGTCCATTCGTCTCTTACATAAATTGTAACTTCTGTGATGGCGGGGACCCACATTTTCATCTAGCGCTAACTTTATGGTAGGCATTTTCCTTTGTGTTTTACATGGATTATTTAGATTATTTCGCTTCTAGGCTGTAAATTAACAGATAAGGAAAATGAGACAGAGAGGTTTAAAAAAAACAGACTTACCCAAAGTAAACAGCTCTCAAGTGGGGAAGCTGGAATTCAGATCCACCTCTCATTCCAAAGACATTTCTCCAAACCATTCTTCAACTATTTATGATTGAGTTGAAATGATTTAGACTTTTAAAACAAAGATATCATTTTTTTTTGGAAGATTTTATTTTTTCCCCTTTTCTCCCCAAAGCTCCCCGGTACATAGTTGTATATTCTTCGTTGTGGGTCCTTCTAGTTGTGGTATGTGGGATGCTGCCTCAGCGTTGTTTGATGAGCAGTGCCATGTCCACACCCAGGATTCGAACCAACGAAACCCTGGGCCACCTGCAGCGGAGTGCGCGAACTTAACCACTCAGCCATGGGGCCAGCCCCTAAAGATATCACTTTTTTAAGAGGAGTGTTTCCATCTTGAATCTTTCTTAGGCAAACAGAGCAATGGAAGTCAAAAAAGAAAAAAACATGAATTTTCTTAAGTAGAATAATTAATTTTCTAGTCACTATAAATGGTTAGTGTTGATGATCATGGCACGTCGCCAGCGTGTAATGAGTCTGAGAAATCAAAACCTTGAACGCTGAATCAAGCCAAGACCCTGAACTGGCTAAATGATATATTAGGAAGGATGCAGAGGAGCAAAGATGAAGGGTGGGAGTTTTCCAAGGTTAATTACGGAACGAACATCTAGGAACAAGGAAGTGAGAACAGGGAGGTTTGGTATGTGACGTATGTTGAAGGGCTGGGACCACACATTGGAGATATTGTGCAAGTACAGTTCATTATTTAAGAACACATTACCCTCTGAATTGTCTAAAGGTCAGGGTCAACTTTACACTCAGACTTTATTTTCATTCTTTGTTGATTTAGAAATGGTCTCTTGAGTACCTCTCTAAGCCTCTCATTGTGTAGTCTGTAAGTACTCTGTTGAAAATATTCAGATTAATCACCCACTTTACTCCCTCTCTAGTATTTTCTTGGCATTGTACTAAGTGACACAGAAAGTGCATATATACATATATATATTTCTCAAAAAGATTGCAAGCTATTTAGGAATGAAAGATACCATTTATTGAGCATCTACTAAATAATAAATATTCGTGTATTTTTTATAACCCTATAGTAACTCTTCAAGATGGGTAGTAGTAGCTTCCATTTTACAGATAGGAAAACTGAGGTGTAAGATGTTCCTTAACTTCTCAAAAGCCACATTGCTATGAAGTGTTAAATCCAGGATTTGAATTCAGGTATCTCTCTCTTTTTTTGTGTGATTGAGTCCCTTTCAACTGTGCTAGTATATATCGCAGATAAATTAGGTTATGCTATGATAACAAACAACCCCAAAATCTTAGTAGCCTAGTCCATCATCAGTTAATTTCTTGTTCACACTGTGCTCTGTGGATTTGAGCAACTCTCCAGGGCAAGCGTCCTCAGTGTGGAAGCTCAGCATCACAGGCTGCTTTGTTCGTGGAGCATTTCCATATCTACATGGACCTCCAGCAAACAAACAGGGAGCACGGAGAAATGTACATCACTTCTAAATACTTCAGCTCAGAAGCGACACACTTCATTTCTGCTCACATTTTATTGGTCAAAGAAACTCTCATGACCACACCTACCTTCTGAAAAGAAAGGAGAACCACAAATCCTGGTAAGAATTAGTGTTTTCTACCTCAACAATAAATATTGTATTTCAATTCAGCAAATAGCTACTAATTCTTTACTTAGAATATAACATTTGGTTCAGAAAAAAATGAAGGGATTTGCTTCCTGATATGAAGTAATTGACAGTTTGATAAGGAAAGTAAATCCTATAAAAAGGAACTAGTATATTAACACAGAAAGACAAAGAATATTTGAACTCAGAGGAGAAAAAGGCAACTGGGATCTGGACGATTATGGAAGGTTTAAGGCATTTATATTGGTCTTTGGAGGATCAGTGGAATTTAATTTGGAAGTATAAGAAAGAAACTGTAGTTGAAGAAAGAAAAGAGAGGAAGATATAACAGGACTTCTTGTCAGTGGCACAGCTGCTATTGGCAGGTCACTTATGACGTCCCCCCCTCTGCAGAGGCAAAGCAAGCTCCCCAATGGCAATGGGAGGGGACAGCCGTTCCAGTGGTGGCCAAGGCAGCAGGCCTGTAAGCGCCTGCCCTTTGACTATCTGCTCTGTGTGGTTCTTGCTTTCACACGGCTTCCACTAACACATGTTTTATCATGGTCACCACTAAGTGAATTTTAATTTTTTTTTCTTATTTAAAAAGTGCCACTTTTGGAAGATATTCGCAGACAGCGAGAAGACTCTCCAGGCTCCACAACCAGATACACACCTGACCCTCCTCCGATGTTCTCATTTGCCTTTGGGCTTGAATATTGCTGAGAGGTGGAGTTAGACTGACTCCTCATTAACTAACCCAGGAGGCTGAGGAATCACATGTAAAGGGATGGGGCGGCTAACAAATATTGAGTCTCAGGGTCACAAACCAAGCCAATGGGGTAGAATAGCTTTTTCCCCAAAGCCAGAAAGAATAGTGAAGATTCTAGTAGAAAATTTACTTTAAGGGAATAGAGATTTTGGACCAAAAGGCTGGTGATGCACTCTCTACATACGTGCTCAACATCCATAAAATTTCTCCCAACTCAGGCCTGGAGAGGTGGTTATAGAGCCTGAGAGAAACGGCCAGTTGTGCGTTTTGAAAGTGCAGAGGCCAAGACTCGCTCAGCAACACTGATACATGTCTCAGGAAATTTGTGAAATCATTTGAAGGAGGAGACCTTCAAGAAAAGACGTGAGTCAGCCGCAACTCTCATCCATCCAGCTCAAGTGGTCAATCATTCTGCTGTCACAGGAATGCGTAACCTTGGAACCAGAGGTCTCTCCCATCCATCAACTCCCATGTGTTCTTCCCTTCTGGGCATGTTCAGTTGAGATTGCACAGGCTCTCCTTCAGTCACCCTCTTAGAAATGCCTTCTTAGTGAACTGAAGCCCTGTTGACTTACCCAGAAACTCAGGTCCCTTTCTTCCTCACTACAGGTAACAATTTGAACTTACCATTACCTTGCACGTTTTTGTACTATTACTACTTATGCATGCATGTCTAAACAATAGATAATATCATTCTTCATGTTCTAAAACTGTATCAAATGGTATAATACACTGTATTAGGGATTTTGCTTTTTTCCCCTCGACAGTTTTTTTTTGTGGCTTATCCATGTTGATTTGGCTATCTTAGAAAATTTACTCAAATGCATTGAAATTTTGGTTCACAGGCTCATTTTCAGTGGATGAGATTTCTTTTGTGCAGGATTTTTGGTTTTTGTTTTGTTTTCCTTTTCTCTCTCCATTTACCTTTGCTTCATTCATTCATTCAACACATATTTATTGAGAACTTATAATTGGCCGAGTCCTAGGCACTGAGAATATTGCAGTGAATGGAACAGATGAAAAAACCAACCAAACAAACAAAACTCCCCAGTCTCATGGAGCTCATTTTCTGGTGATGGAGAGATAGATCATATACAAATACATGTGTGTAACAATTAATGTGTCAAATGATAAAGAGTGCTATGGAGAAAAATAAGAAAAGAAAGGGATCCAGGGCATGTCTATGACAGGGTTTCCAGTTTCTAATAGAATGATCAGAAAAGGGCTCAATGAAAGGTAACGTTTGACAAAAGGCTAAAGTGGGCGAGAGGGTAAGACCTGTGGTTCTTTAGGAGAACATTCTAGTCAGAGGGAAAAGCAAATGCAGCTCCTGAGACAGTAGCATGCATGTTTGTGTTCAAGGAAGATTGAAGAGACCATTGAGGCTGGAGTGGAGTGAGCAGGGGAGAGAGTCAGCCAAAAGAGGTCAGAGAGACAGCAGATTGTGTGGGGCATTATAGACTATGGATTCTCTTCTGGAGAGGTGGAAAACTTTTCAAACATTCTGAGCCAAGGTATGACATGAAATGACTGATGTATTTCAAGGGCTCCCTCTGAGTGGCATATGGAGATTAGACAATAGGAAGGCAGCTGTACAACCAGCAGGAGAGCTAAGGAATTGTAATAATCCAGGTGAGAGATAGTGGCATCTGGATTCAGGGAGGTAATTTCAGAGAGAGTGAGAGGTGGTTATATTTTGGATATGATTTGAAAGTGGGGCTGTCAGGATCTACTGAGATTGGATGTGGGGTCATAGAAAGAGAAAAAGCCAGAGAATACACCAGTTTTCAGTCTCAGCAATGGAAAGGTTAGAGTTGCCTTTAATTGAGGTGGGAAGACTAAGACAGTTTAGTCACATGACTATGTTTTGTCCTTATATAACCCTAGATTAAATGCTTGATGTAAGTCATAGTCCCAGACAATGAGAGTGACTAATATTTTCAATCCCACCCTGGCTCCTGACCTAAGTGAGCCTGACCAATATTCCAAAACCTCAGACCATTTCATATAAGCACTCTTGGACTCCAGCCCACGTGCCTACTCATTGTTTTAGCCCCACTAATTGCTTTGCATTGCCTTCCATTTGTATCTGGGAAATGTTTATTTTGTTTGAGAGCCTGGCTCTATAATTATTTTTTCTTTTATATTTTATTTATATGTGTGCTTGAATCAGAAGAGCTATGTCAGAGAGTAAGCTTACTCTCCACCTTGACCTCTTTGCTTCTCTCACATCCTTTTGTGAGAATTCAGTCCAGTTGGCTTTCCTCTTCTGGGATTACTTTTCTGACATTGGCTTCTATTACACTCACTATCCTGATTTTCTCTTGCCTCTCTGGCTATTTATTTGGCCTTTTGCAAAGTTCATCTTCATCTTCTAGAACTCTGAATGTGAGAATTTCTTGGGACTTAGTCCCAAGCCCTTGTCTTTACAATCTACACTGTCTCTCTAGTCATTCTTATCAGTATTTGCAGTTTAAAATACCATTTATATGCTAACGACTTCCATATTTGTATCGCCCTTCCTGACCTCTCTTCTAAACCCTAGACTTACATATTTAACTGCCCATATACTTATAAGAGTTCTTAGAAGCATCTCGAACTTAAATTGTCCAAAATTAAATTTTTTTTTTATGATTGGCCCTGGCATGCCATCTTTTGTCAATCTTCCTTTTTTTTTCCTTCCCAAAGCCCCACTACATACTTGTATATCCTAGTTGTGGGTCTTTCTAATTCTTCTATGTAGGATGCCACCACAGCATGGCTTGATGAGCGGTGTGTAGGTCCATGCCCAGGATCAGAACTGGTGAACCCCAGGCCACCAAAGCAGAGCACACGAACTTAATCACTTGACCACAGGGCTGGCCTCTTAAATTTTTAATCTTTCCTCTCAATATGGATCCTCTCCAGTATTCTCAGTTTCAGCATCCAACCAGTGATTTGTGCCAGGAACAAGCGCTGCATCTTTGACACTTCCTTCTTCTTCATTCCCACAGTCAGACCACCATCAAATCTTGTCATTCAACCTCCAAAATATACATCCAGCCCATCCTTTTGTGAAATAACTAGATAAGGCAAAGCCTGAAGTGCTATGAAACAACACAAAACCAATGGAACCCCCTAGAAGGTGCATGGTAAGTGGGTGTCATCTGATCTTGGATGGAGCAAAATAGAGATGTTATACCTAAATCTCTTCTTTTTGAATCAGAATTATAAACATTTAAGGTTAGAATGGATCTTAGTGACATCTTGCCCTAATCACTGTCTGTAATAAAAAACTAAAGTCCTGAAGGTGAATATCTTATTCAAGTTCCTACCATTAGTAGTGAAAGACTTAGGATTATCACCTACCTCTCCTAATTCAGTGCAGTGCTTTTTTACAGAGCCATGTTGGCAGGAAGTCATGGGCTGGGCTCTGATAAGTATGAGGCTGGTGCCATATAAATAATATTTTGTGGCATTTGTTATTTTCTATAAAGTAAGACAACAGGTTTTATAGAAATTTTCAGCTCCATAGCAGTAGTGTGAATTTAACTTTTGTCTTAGCATAAACATGGTTTTATTTATGAAACACTGACCTTAAAACAAACAAGCAAATTAACAAATAACTTGGCTTAAATACAGCTCAGGCTGCAAATAATGCAATTATGGTGTGGCTAATGGTATTTGGATATTTGTGCAAGGTCTAAGATTTTGGAAAAAAACTTCTGGGAAAGCAATGGCCTTTTGCCATCTCCACCTCACCCCTCCCTGGACTCCATGACTGCTTTCAAAACTATTCTGCTATAAGCTTCAAAGACTTGAGATTATCATCTTTTATTTGATAGGGAAGATAATCCTGTTGATGTTTCTGCAACCAAGTTGTCTACAAACCTGATCCACTTAAAATAAAATATGATAACAAAATTGTGCCCTTCAGTCTCTAAAGAAACTGGTAAAAGAATGAGCAAAATATAATTGAGATAATCCGAGAAAAGATTAAGGAAGTTGATGACAAAATTGTTTTCTTACAGAATGGAGTTGTATTTATGAGTGAAAGCTCAAATTCTCCTCTCCTTACTGGAGATGAATCCTATTATTACTCTAGTTCAAGAGGATCCTTGCAATTAAACTGCCATTGATGGAAAACTACCTGAGTGAGATCTTTTATTATTTTTAAATGCCAAGCATGAAATTTTAGGCAAATAATACTTATCGTAGAAATGGGACTAAAATCCTTTTGTAATAAAAACAGCAAAATCAAGTCTATTTATTTCATCCAAGATGAAATTGTCTGAGAATATCTGCTTAATTGGCATCTAACTGCTATTCTTTGGCAAAAGAAGAATCATTGAGACAAATAGTATTTATATTGCAAAATATCTAATTTAAGCTGCATGTTTTTAAATCATATGGCATATGTAGCCGGGGTTACAGGCATAGATTTCAGGTTCAGGAAGATCTGGTTTAAATCCTGCTTCAGTCATTTGCTTGTGACATTGAGCAAATTACTTAAAACACAGATGCAAATGCCCAATATCCCCACCACACTAAACCACTTAGCATTGCTGAGGTCATCGTGCTCCCTCGGATTTCCACATCATTGTACCTGAAGCCTCCTTTCTCACTCTTCCGAACACCTTCATCTCCTCCACCCCTTCATTGTGTAGCCAATTCCTCATCTGTTTAGATTCAGTTCATGTGTTACCTATACCAGGAGTTCTCTCTGACCCAATAAAATTTAGGTTCGGACCTAGTGTATCTCAGTCTCAAGCCTTATTAAACTCTTTCAATTCTCTGTTTTATTGTTTTGTCTGTGAGCTCCTTCAAAGTAGGAATCTTGACATTCATTTTTGCATTTCCAGAACCTAGCATGAGACTTGGCCCACAGTTTGTGTGCAATGTATTTTGGTAAATTGGGTGAAAAGGAAGTTGGAAGATCTCTGAACAGAGATTTCTCCAAAGAAGATATACGGATGGCCAACAGGCATATAAAAAGATGCTCAACATCATTAGCTATCAGGGAAATGCAAATCAAAACTACAATGAGGTGTCACCTCACTCCGGTCAGAATGTCTATAATTAACAAGACAGGAAACAACCAATGTTGGAGAGGATGTGGAAAGAAAGGAACACTTGTACACTGCTAGTGGGAGTGCAAACTGGTCCAGCCACTATGGAAAGCAGTAAGAAGTATCCTCAGAAAATTAAGAATAGATCTACCATTTCATCCACCTATCCCACTGCTGGGTATTTATCCAAAGAACTTGAAAACTCCAAGGCATAAAGATGCATGCACCCCTATGTTCATCACAGCATTATTCACAGTAGCCAAGACTTGGAAGCAACCTAATTGCCCATCAAGGGACGAATGGATAAAGAAGATGTGGTATTTATACACCATGGAATACTACTCAGCCATAAGAAATGATGAAATCCGGCCATTTGTGACAACATGGATGGACCTTGAGGGCATTATGCTAAGTGAAATAAGTCAGAGGGAGAAAGTCAAATACCATCTGATCTCACTCATAAGTAGAAGATAAAAACAACAACAAACAAACACATAGCAACAGAGATTGGATTGGTGGTTACCAGAGGGAAAGGAGAGGGGGGACAAAAGGGGTGATTTA